CACAGGTAGTTCCAAGTCAGTTTAATCACCGTTCCATATTAATGCGCTGCTTTAAGTACTGCACACGATTACACACACACACACAAAGAGACACAGACACACACACACAGACACACACACAAAGACACACACACACAGACACACAGAGAGAGACACACACACACACACACACACACACAGAGAGACACACACACACACACACAAAAACAGAGACACACAAGACACACACAGAGACAGACAAACAGACAGACACACACTGACACACAGAGAGACACACAGACAAAAACAGAGACACACAGACACACACAGAGACAGACACACACAAACCTGGAAATGATGTTGTTTCCATAATTAATTTGACAAAGTGGCCCATCGATTTTGGAATCTTCTATTTTTATCCCCCTGGAATACAAATGACCTTTGATAGTCAATAAATGTGAATGAATGGCCAGTTTAAACACATACTGACATAAGCTCACTCTTTACTCACGCAGGACGACTTAATATGTTCAACTTTCTCTTCAGCTCCTCATGTGCATCATCATTAAGGCTCAATATAAAGACAGAGACAAACAGTGAATACAATCAAAACAAACGTCACACTTGGGAGCTGAGCATACCATCAGTCAGGTTTGGTGTTTCTGATCATTAGAAACAGATGACACTAAAGCTCTTTTAACCCTCGTCTCTTTCTCCTGTACATGTCTGAGATCATTTGCAGAATGTGAAAGGTTGTTGTTTCAGTATGCTTTTTTTTTTTTTTTTTGCAGATAAAAACATAACAAAATAGCATAACAAGAGTTATAATATGGATTAAAGACCATAAAAAATGAACAAATTCTGTGCTACCGGTGCAAACCGAATCCTATTTCTATCGCAACTCAACTGATCTACGCATGTCTCTGCACGGGCTTCTGGGCTTTATGGGTCGCGTGACTGTCTGTAAGGATATTCTCCGCCTTCAGACGCGCGGCTGTTTCTCCGCACGCTTCTACTGTCTCCCGCAGCCCGCGCTCCGACGCGTTCTCCCCGAACTGCTCGAACAGCTCGCTGTCTCCAAACTCCACCGCGGCCATGTTTGACGAGCGCAGCGTAGACCCGAAGGACAAATCCTGCGACGCGCTGACGCGTGACCGCTGATTGGCTCGGAGACCGGAACCCGGAAGTAACGTCCGTTTAAACATGTAAACAAACACTTCATAGCTAAAGCGGTCTGATTCACCGTTCCTCCTGAGCAGTTCATTTTAATTTTCCAAAAGGATAAATCACTGCGGGTTCTTGTTTCCCTTGTCTTGATTGTTAATAAATTAAATGCATCTATTAATGTGTAATAATAATAATCTGTAGTTTATTATTGTTCATAATCAATCTTTTTCCTAATAATTTTAACCCTCTGGTGTTTTTTCGGTCATTTTAGATTTTAAAAATCGCTACTTCATCGGAATGTTACGAAACTTGATTACTTTTGTGACCGCAGATAAATAAATAAAATCGTGGACTTGATTCGAAAAAGCTAAATGGTCCTGAAAAATTGTCACACTTGTGTTGTTCACGGTCAAAAATGGCCGCCATTGGAAATTAATGGGAAATAGAAATACACAGAAATACCGTTTCTGTGAGTGTGTGTACAATCTACAGGTTTTTGCAAATACATGAAATAAAAACAGTAATTTAGCCACAGTGCTGTAAAAACACAGACACAAAGGAAGGGGTTACACTATAAAACATCAAGAGAATAAAACAGGCTCATGCACTCAAACACACACACACACACTCACAGATACACACTCACACACACACACACACACACTCACACACACACACACACACTCACTCACAGACACACACACACACTCATACTCGAGAGAGACACACACACGCACACACACATACAGAACACTATTATACACACACAAATGAACTGGTGTGTGTTACAATATGGCAAAATTGAACCAGAAGTCTCAAATACGAGGTTAAAATCAAAATTGATTTTGTTACATTTTTTGTTGAACTCTGTGGTCGGTTGCATGAACCACTTAGACTAGTCTTAAAAACTTAGTCATCTAATTATTTTTCTTTAAGACTGGTCATAACTTTTTTAAAGTCAGCTATAAAAATGGAGAATGGTCTAATTTGAATCCAAAAAGTAGGACTGATTAGTTCTTAAGACACAGTCTTAATTAACATAGCGGCTATGTTTATGCAACTGGCCCCTGATGATATGTGTGATAAAATGGATTTCTTTGTGTTCAGGTTTGACTGTAGTACAATTAATGCAAAAATATTTCAAAACCAACATTTCAACCAAAAGAAAAAAAAAAAACCTTTACAAAAAGTTGTCTTTGAGAATGTCTAAATATAAATCCAAATCCACAAAAATAAGTATTTATGTCTAAAAACAACTCTTTTGTATAGAGCTTTTGTATAGAGCTTTTTGTAACATGACTCTCCGACGGAATTTCAGAAGTTTTTCTTTTTTTTACTCCCACCAGATGGCAATAATCTGCCTTCACAAAGTGGATTTTAAAGGCATTGTCTACATTTTAACATGAAATACTGCCATAATTGAAAAGTAATATAAGATTATTAGAAAAAAAAAAAGTATTATTCTCAATGGGAAAAATTGATCATAATTATTGCATAAATATTAAATAGTACCATGAAATTCTCTCAAAATACAAAAGAAAAAAT